ATAACAATCTGTTCACACATTGTTTACTAGTTTGATGTGATTTACGGAAATATTATTATAATTTTTTGATGTTGCCCAATTAATAATCCAGACAGTTTTCGCATAAACTGGTAAAACTAAAACGTAAATTGAAAATGTGCATAAATTATAATTCATCTGATTTTACTAAACATGTTATTTCAGAATAAAAATTCCACTCAATTTTATTAAATCTGGTGCTATACTGCCTTATTGACTACTTTCTAATATTTCTCTAAAAAATAGCCATACTAAGTTCTTTTTCATTCTTTTTCTTTTCTCTTGTATAATCACGCGATTTTTCTTTTGATGTTTGTTATCCCTCTCAGTGAATGTTGAGTGCTAATAAAATGTAAACCAAAGGAGAATATTTGCCAAAACTCAAGAAAGTCACAAGTTTTTAATACAAATCATTTCGTACAAAAAGGTTTGGTTTACCAAAGTAAACTAAAAGTTAACAATGATAAAAATAACTAAAGCCTGAAATTATGAACGTAAGATTATTGAAATTTGGCGTAAAACGTTTATTTATGATTTTAATTTTGGCAGTAGTTTAACCTAAACAATTAGCATGCAAAATTTTAGTTTTGAAAGTTGCGCAGACATTTTTTGGCCTCGGCTCACATGGAAACGATAATTTTAAATACGTTAACACAATTTATTATTATTTTTACTGTCAATTAAATTTGACTTGGAATTTAAAATTTTTAACAACCTGATTTCACGAGAACAGGTTCTGCTAAAAAATTATAACGCGGTGGTGTTTCAAAAAATTATTTTTTGCAGTGCAATAAAAGTTATGTTTCTACTCAAACAGCACTGCTACCAAAAAGTAAACTGTCGTAAAACTCTTACACGTTTAATTACTATGACGATAACTACCCGCGTCATATAAATACCATATGTTTATCATAGGGTCGTATTAATAACTCATTTTATGAGGAGGGACTTTTATTAATCTTATAATAAGCCAAAGTTAAAAGTTGCGTTAAAAAGAAATGTTAAAAGTATGTTTAAACGAGATTATATACAGAAAACGGCGTACTCTTTTCATGAAACTGTACCGGTTTGCCCACACGACCAGACATGCAAATTTTCTTATGAAAATCTAAGTTTGCTCTTTTTTCATGTAATCACCCGCACGTTTCATGTTGAATATTGGCCAACTGTCACATCACGTGAATTGGCGCAGAAAATTGCTAATCTACACAACTACAAGCGATCGGTGTAAGCTAAGAACTAAGACGAGATTCGATAAACGGCATTTAAAAATAGTTGATAATAGGAACTGTTAGTGAGGAGGCACGCAATTTTCTATCGTCAAGACTCGAGTCCAACGACTGACAACTTGTTGCCTCAGCGTATGCGATTAGCAATCACATTATCACGTGTTTGCCAAAGCCTCAATCCGTCTCGTTCAATCATTTGGTGTTTTTAAGCGTTTAATTCGATTCACGCTATCTTGTTTACTATAGATAATCGCTTTTTATTTTATTTTATTCCGAGAACGCTTGTCGCACATTACTAGAACAGTGTTTGTTTTACATGCGTGCACCGATTGTCTGGTCATAACGTCTCGAGTGACGACGGCGGTGGCCCTTAGAAAGCGAGTCCAAAGTATTTTAGCCGCACGATTTATCCGATTTGCGTGCAACAGAATTATGCGAAAAAACGACCGTGCCATGTAAAACGCTAAAAAGACATTAAATATTACGGTGAACTGTAAAACGTGGATAATATTATCAATAGTTGACGTATGCAATACTACAAAGAAAACCCAACGGATTCATAAAGTGCTTACTTCATAAATAGTCGGTTATCTAAGTTTTTTATCATAATCATATACGGTCACTCATAGCAAAAAAATATACAAATTTATGAAAAATAAATAAATCCATAGATAATATGTAATAAATGTTATCAAGTAATACCAGTGATAATAATACTTAACATGCGTCATGATTAGAAGCGTGAAAACGTAATAATAGTTTTTTGTCACAATTTGGATTTACTTGATATGTTATTATTTAGAAATGTAAATTTTTGGTACATCAATTGTTTTAATTCTATATTTTGAACAACCACTGGCCATTAAATTAAATCGCACACAGACGATGACAATTTGTTAAAAATCGGATGCCAGGTGTCCATCTGATTTTTATGCAAATAGTACTCAAGTGTATTATGAATTTTTTAGCCTTCGACCCCAATGCCGGTGTGCTGGAGATAAAGTGTATTCATATCGACTGTGTAGACGTGACTCGGAAAGATCCGATGAGAATTATATGGTCGTTGTACTCGCTATTATAAAAATTCACTCATCATTAACTAGTGTCCAAAAAAAATGTAAAGATGCCAAGACTATGATTTTTTGTTTTAAAATCTAGAATTATTATTATATTTTACTCATAAAGATGTCATTAAGTCAATTTTATTTGTTTACGTACTTTGTCTACAAAATCTCATCACAGTATTCATTAAAAGCAATATTTTGATCTCATTAGTATTTTTAATAACGAATTTTTCGTGGGACACGTAGTATGATGTAATATTTTTTAAATTACTCTCGCGTCGGTGGGTAGATTGCAATTTATGTTTCGTTGAATATTCTCGATTAAGGGATTGCTAAAAAGTACACTTACTCTCTGAGGTGCTTTCAAAACTCTGTACACTCCAGCAATCTGATTGATGAGCGGTAGCGTGAGACAGAACGAGTGCAACGGCGGTGCCCGTTGAGGTTCCGGTACATTTGCCGAATACTCAAACGGGTCCGTGTCGTCCACAAATTGTACGCGGCAAGTGAGCGACATGATTTATGGAATAGGAAAAACAGCACAAATTACTAAGACATATCAAACGCTATATAGCCAAATCCCGTCGAGTTTATTAGTTGTGACCGAAACAATAGTTTTATGTTAACACGTTTGTTGTTGGGCGAAACACGCTGCCGTACACGGACCGCAGATATCGGACGCGCGGATTTGACTGTTGTTTACCGGGACGCTGCCGTATGGTCAGCTGCACAGTGTCTGCCTGACAGCCGCAGTGTTCCCCTCCTACCAACCAGTGGTTCGCCATAGCGAGCAGCTGATTCGAACAGCAGTACACGCGACCCAAAGAACGATGCGGCTTCAGGGAATAGCTGTCTTTGTTACCTACCACCGGTGAAGCGTTTAGAGGATACGTTCGGATACTAACCGAACGGAGGTATCCGGATGCCTAATACCTTCCAAAGGCGTAATACATGACCGTACCAATGCCACGAAAACTATTATGTGAGATACCTAAAACACTGGTGCGCTATGAGATGTTCGATTGGAATGCATTCGAGTTGCATTTCAAAAAATACGTGCATTATTACACTGTAACAGTACAGCGTTTTGAATGTAGTTCTTGCAATCATTTTGTTGGATTGATCAAGTCAAGTAGTTGAAATAAAAAAAGCAGTAACATGAACCTGATTGATTATGTCGTATGCGAATACATTTTGAAATAAACAATGCCTAGAATTAATTTCATAGTTTTCAATCGTTGAAACACATTTTAAAATAAATTTAACATGGCCTATCTTCAGTGTATTAATTATATCATTCAGCGCGCTGTCAGACAATAGTTAACACTTTTTTTAAAAATCTACAAATGCAATTCTCATGATTTTTAATTTATTTTAATCGTATGTCATATTAAAAACGCACATTCAAAAGCCCAACAAGTAATATCATAACTGAACAAACAAAATATATCATTGATAAAATTACTTGTAAAAATATTTATGTTATTTAAGCGCTCAATAAGCAATTTTTTATTGAAACGAGCAGGACTGCCACAACTTTTATGTACCCTCAGCTGTTGGTCTCCCAGTCCACCCTTAATGTTTGTTTTACAATAAGAATTTTTTTTTAATTTATGATATTCTTAATAAAATATAATAATCTTAACAAAATTAATTATATTACAATGTGTATATTTTACTATTACAATAAAATTCGAGTAAATTCGTCAAACGTTAGGTAATTAAACAATCCAAACGAATACATAAATGCTCGGTCTATAAATTTCTCTCAATTATTAATATGGGTACTGTTAGATTGAATTCTTTTTTATAAATAATTTTAATTAATCTTTAGTTTTTTTTTGAGTATAAGTCGTACTTTGTTTACCTCTGTTCTCTCTTTTTAGACATTTTATTAATATTATAAGCATTTGTATTGAAAATTAAAAAATATACCTATTTATAAGTAATATTAATTATCATAAAATGAATATCTAAAGCATTATTACACTCAGAAAACTGAAGAACATATAAATGAAAGTTTCTATTACTCAGTGGCTCATAATATTAAATCATAGAAAATAACTTAATTTTTATAATAAATAGCCAATATAAATTTATAGAACCATATCTCGAAATTAAAAAAAAAACGACTTAAATTCGGATTCTTCTTATTTTCTTTATCTTTTTTCCTTGAAATTTTTAATTTTAATTAATACAGAAATTATTTTATTTTATTTATATCATTTTAAAACATTTAAATCAAAAGACCTGTGTAAATTTTGAAATTTTTGGTGTTTAAAACGTAACATCTCTAATAAAAGTTGTCTTAATATTGGTTATCAACGTTAACAAATATTAACTTTAATTTTAATTTTTTTTTCACTTTGATTTTTATCTTTATTTATGTTTGTAATCTATATTCATTTTTAATTAGAATATCTTATTTTGAAGTCTAATCAACTGATATTTACATAAGGATAAATATTATTATTTAGCTAAATTGGCTAGTTTAAATTTTTTAGTATATGACTTATTAAAATATTTCAATCTAACTTCCTAAATGTAAAATCATCTTCGTAATATATAAGCTAGTATGACATATTTGATTAGTAAACTCTATTAAAATATTCAATGTTAACAGTTAGCTATTAATATTTAGATTTTTAAATGCACAATTCAGAGTAATTTGTATGAAACATCAACTTACCGTATATAATTTATTTTGTATAGTTGATGTTTGTGCTCTGCTATCATGTATATGAACTTGATCTACTCCAATTTCAACACAATCGTCTATTTAATAAATTTAGCAGCTGTTTATATTTTATTTGAGCGTAATGAATAATATTTTATTATTAATGAAAATTAGAATAAATACCTGAATCGCTATCAGCAGGAGTTTTTGGTGCAGCCGGAGGGGGTGCTTCATTTCCCAATATTTCGTCAATATTTCTACAACCACCAATAAATAACATTAATTGATCTAATTCATCTTGCAAGTTAGGTTCTATTGGTTCTTTAATATGCGTTTCGTCAAATTTCTCTTTACTTTCGACTCTTTCAATTTTTTTTATCCGTAAAGATGTTCTTTTTACACGAATAAAATCGTCACTTTCATTTTTTTCTGCCCACCAATCAGGGCTACTATTGACAGTTTCTATTGGCTTTGAACTTGAACTTAAAATATCTTCTGTACTTGGGTGTTTAAGTTCATGACTTTGTGATTCAGATTCCTCACTAGCTAGCCATGATGGGCTATCATATGAGTCCATTTTTCTAACTTTTTTAATATTTGGTTGTTCGAGTCGATTAGGATCATCACGTGGTTTTTCAGTCGAAATACTTGTGCTTATAGTGTCTTCATTTTTATACTCTTCTGTCCACCAATGAGGCTCACTAAAATCTTCTATGTTATCTAATGTGTTTTCGTTATTCCAAGAATCAAAATTATTGTTATTTAAATAATAATTATCAGTTTCATCTAAATATATATTTCCAATGTGATTTAAATATTGTGTTTTATCATCATATCCATTATTTAAAGACCATTTACTTTCATGTACTCCGTTTGGTTTACTTAATGAGTTATCACTATTAGAAAGTATATGTTTATTTTCATCTTCAGAAAGCCACCAAGGACTATCAAATGAATCCATTTTTCTGACTATAGACGATTTAGTAAGATCAGGACTTTTTATCGACCGATCACTGTTACTTTTTGTGAATTTTGAACCATCACTGTTATCTTTTTCACCACTTAACCACCAAGGGGTATCGAATGAATCCATTTTTCTAAGATTATATGATGGAGCTTTAACTGAAGAATAATTACTGTTATTAAAATCAGAATTGATGATTTCATTCCTATTTAATAAAGAATTTTGTAAAATATCTTCTTGTCTTTCTACTTCGTCCATCCATTGTTTATTATGGAAATTGTTATTAAGCATAAGATCACACGTTGTACTTTTTATTGAATTTGAACTGCTATGACATGTATCCAGATTAGATGTACTACCATTACGTGATATTGATTTTTCTTTTTTTAATTCATGATGTACAGCATCAAGAAGCCATTGATTTCGATCAGACGAGTCTATTTTTTTTATACCATAAGGATGACTTCTATTTAAAATTGAATTATTGTTTAAAGCGTCTGAACATGACGTACTATCTGGATATGTGTATGAATCCTCTATATTTATGTCTTGTTCTGCTTCTTTTAACCATTGATTTCTGTCAGATGAGTCCATTTTTCGTAAATGATAAGTAGGAATTTTACTAGAAAAATAATTGTTCATACCATCATTTTTCATATTATTTTCTGTATTATTTGGTGAACGTTTTTCATTTTTATTTTCTTTATTTGTTGATTCTTGCAACCACTCGATATTATCTGACGAGGGTTCTAATTTTTTCAATGGATATTGGGGTTTTGGAATTTCTGTGATGATAGCTTTACTGAGAACTGGTGTTAAACTTTTAATCGTTACTAATTTAGGTTCGTCAGATTTTCGACCAGACGGAGGCTTTTCTTCTGCAGTGTTTGAAACAGACGTGGAGCGGCTAATAGACAATTCTTCTCGACTTTTTTCTGTAGAACTTTTTCTACTCCTATTAGGCTGAGGTTGTTTTGATGAATCTGATCCACTCGATTGAGATTTCCCAAAGTTTGACGAATCTGACAAATTTGAATCTTGATCAAGACCTTAAAAACAAAATATATATATTAAAATTGTATTTGAATATATAATGTGATTCGTTTATTATGAACCACTTAATTAAAAAAATAAAAATAATATTGAACAGTTTTTTTAATGAACAAATGTATTTAGTTGATCTAATTAAGAAAATGGCTGGTTGATAACTCTAAGAGTATTATTTCAAAAGTTGTTATAATTTTCTAGAAATCAAATAAATAATTCTTGATATTATTTTTCTTTTTTGATCAATTAAGTGGTTTATGAATAATGAATTATCCTATATGAAAAATTGTTCATAATACCTGAATTTTCACTTGTTGATCCGGTATCTTTTGATGTTGAATTATATCCAAGTCTATTAACTTTATATCTAGAAATAGGTATTGAAGATGCTTTTATGCTAGGCATACTACGCAGAAATTTTTCATCAGTCTGAACATTAATGTCGACGCCTCGATTATATGATCGTCGTTTTGTTGACATGGAAACTTCTTGTTGGCCGGCATGCTTACTTCGAAGAAAATTACTGTGCGCTGGTGGTGTGGGAGATGTTCCTCGGGTTACTATTGTCATCATAACATCTACTGGATGTTCAGTTCTGATTTCCGGAACATTACATACCCCAAATACTGTTATGGGTTGATCTTTTACTGGACTTTTAGGGGCAGGCGTTCCATAACGATTATTGCCACCAGGTTTTAACAAAGATTTATTACCAAAACCTGAAGAAGCTACTCTCATCCGTTTATCCGCTAAAACCGCTTTATCTCTTGCCATTGAGGAGAACTTATCTTTAAGAGCCGTAACAGAACCCGAATCATTGTAAGTACGCATTGGAAGAGCAGAATTTCCAGTTAAAGCTCTATATGAACTACCACTTAAAAACCTACTTGAATTTGTACCCTAAATCACAATATTTATTTTAATGATCAATTTTAAATACTAAACTGTAAAAATTAATTTTACTAGTACTTACCAACGTAGAAGGGCGTTCTGTAGAAGATGAAGAGTACTTCTGATTTGAAGATCTCCATGGTGGCTATTAATTATGAATATAAAATATAAAATTATATGAAAAAATAAAAAGTACATGAATTTACTTACAATTGAACTTCTATAAGACGAAGTCATGCTTAAAACTTCATATCATCTAGACGTAAAGTTACAGTTCGACTGCTCAATAAGAAATGTCAACAACGCAATGTGCACCGGAGTATTGAATGCCGGCCAACTCTACGTCCACTGATCCCTCAACGGTTATTTTTATATTCGACTCAAAGTGCTTAATGCGAACTTGAAGCCAAATGAGATTTAAATGCACGAAAATTGGGCGTATGCAAACTCGTGCGAATCATGTGGTCTGTTGAATTTAATTGTGTTATATAATGCTCATTAAATACAACAATAGGAATTATTCAATTTACTTTTATAATAATCACTTACGAGCATAATTAGTCAACAATTATTACAATCATAATAATAAAGAAAATTATCAAAAATTATTGTAAAAATACAATAAAATGTAAGAGAAACAATTAAAATTACATTATTACTTATTTTTGTCACCAAATATAAAAAAAGAAACAGACTAATCGACTATGCCTGTATATAAAAAAATTGAATTACGTTATGATATTATAATAGTTCATTAAGACTATTTTGAGGAAATTTGGCATACTAGCATTTCATCTATCAAAATCCCTCCTACAGTCCCGGAACCATAGACTATTCTCTCGTAATATAGTTTATTCAGTTCCGCGGTAAGAACTGCCAAAATTTTACTAATATCTATTCAGATGCATACATACAGTTTCCTTGCCAAAATACGTTTTGTACAAATTTATAGCTCATAATGTTTTTCCCATCTAAAAAAAAATATTATTTTTTTATCAAAATGATTTTAAAACGCATTTGGTTATTTTATCTGATATTTCTACTAATAATGACGTAAAAAATTTGTTTTTTTTATATTGAATATGTAGATAAATTAAAATTTTTACTTCATAAAATTGAAATTAGTGTTTAATGCATGAGGTGAGATATGACATACTCAGAATACGAATATTTAAAGACCATTCGTTACAATATCGTGTTTCATTTTACTTCAAAATTTACTTTAATAAAAGTACTTAAAATCTATTTAAAAGAACTATAACTTAATTAAAATTAAAATATAAATTAAATTCAATTATTAAATCAAAACTAAGTGAATTATTTAATTAATATATGAATAATTTTATAAAATTTTAATAAATCAATCTCTTATACCATAAAAAAAGCATGTCAACTGAATTTTTTATAAATACAATATATATTATATAACTAATTTCTTTAATTGATTATGATCTAATTAATAAAATGAATGGAAAATAATAATTTTTGAACTAATATTTCAAAAGTTATTAACTCTTTTTTACCTATGCTAAAGAAAAATTCAGACCTTGAAATGACTATTAAAAAAATAGCAACACTCGCATTTCATCTTCAGTCCTTACTTTAAAGTGTTAATAACTTCTAAAATATCGGTTCAAAAGAATTAACTATTAGTTTTTTTAATTAAATAATTATCCAATATATAAGTTAACTTAATTAATAACTAATTAACTAATTAGTTAATTATATATGTTGTTATTTAAAAAAAATAAAAATAACATCTTTATAAGATATAATAAATAAACATAAAAATAATTCATGATTAAAAATATAAAATATTATGTAATTAAAAAAAATAAATACTAATATTATATAAATATTTTTATTTTTTGATTAAATAAATGGTATATTAATTTTCCATGAACTTGTGTATATACAAATAACTGTGCTATTTTTCAATAAAAATATATCAAATTTACACATTTTTCAGGGTAACAAGAATGCATTTTAAATGGTGTGTTGTGTAAATTGACATTATTGATTTTGAAAAAACGAACCTTCTTAATAAATTTTGGTAGTAATATTTTAGTACATGGTAGTTAACTTCTTTCTCAAAAATTATGATAAAAAATCCCAAAAACTAATTTTTGTGACTTAAAGATACAAATATATAAGAGCTAATAAATGTTCAGTAAAAATTATTCCTACAAAATAAATATGTAGCTTATTTATAACCAATGGCGTATGTGTATTCATCTACTTAGACGCCGCAAATAGTTGGAAGTATATTATTTTGCAATAACTTGAGTTTGATCTATATAAAATATTTGATGGATCAATAAACTGTAAAATTAAAACAGTAGTAGTCAAATTGGAAGGAATTAGGGGTACAGATCCCTATTGACATACCTTTTTTGACATTTTTGTACAATTTTTGTTATACATATTTTATATTTAGGAAACTATAAGTAATAATTCAATTTCAAAATTATTGTGATTAATTAATATGGAAAAATTAATAATTCTAAAAAATAGGAAGATCTAAATATAAGTCTTAGTTATTATTTATATGTAGATAAATTCAACAGAGCACTATTTTAAAATGAAATGAATATTTGAAATAGGCTTAATAAGAATAAATCCATTTATAGCTAAATAGACCTAAATCCATAATTTTGTTTAGTAATACAAATAAAACAATTCGTGGATAAAGGAGTAATGTTTCCATGATGATTTTTTACATAAAGATTTTTATTCACCAACTATGGCAAAATTATTTGACGTTCACTATTATAAACATAAGTCAATTTTACATACCACAACATGGCTTTGCACAACAAAGAACATTTACTACATTTTTAGCTTGCAACATAAAATAGCAGTTTTTAATGATATGATTTACAGATTAATTAATATTCTGATGAATATAATACATTTTGATAAAAAAAATGTAGGTTTTAAGAAAAATAGCTAGATTTAATGGGTATGACGAAAATATAATTTCAAAATTATTCCGAACACAAAATTGGAATAAAGAAAGGAGAAAAACTAGTACACTCACTAGTGTGAGAAAAAAAAAAGTAATTAGGTTACATATTTTATATTATCCTGGCACTTTGAAGAGCTAGCTAGAAATCTTAAGAATTTTGGTATTACTTTAGTAACATCTAAGAGTTATAATTTGAGAAGTTTATTATAGGTAACCTTAAAAATTAAGTAGAAAAAGGAAAAAATCGGGCACTTATAAAATACAATATGAAAGTTGTAATAAAAGTTACGTAGGACAAACAAAAGTAAATATAGGGAACAGGTTTAAAGAACACTTATGATACAAATCAAGAAATTGATAAATCTCCTAAGGCTGAATATTTGTTTATACATAATCACTATCCATTAAAACTATAAGACTAATTAAAAACGTAAATAATTGTAAAGAAGGGAGGCAATAAAAGTATTAAAAAATAAGAATAATTTAATTAATTGTGATTTAGGCTTACTATAAAAGTCATTATCAAACTTGTGTTAACTAGAAAAATGTGGAAAATATCGCTAAATGATATAATTACTAGAAGCGTAAATAGGATTTTTTTCGGTCTGGCTGTGGAATATTTATAATATTATCTCGAAATACATATCCACGATTTTTTTTAATAATATTTGAGATTTGTGTTTATTTAATTTCAATGAAATATTTTTATTTTTTTTTGTTTTAAATTAATATTTTTAATGTAATTTTAATTTTAAATAACATTAGTCACAAGTGATCAATTTTTATTACAATAATATAAATTATCCTAAAAACAAAAAAATGCATGATAGTGTTGAAAAAAAAAAAGAATGTTCCATGATGCTGCTGACAGTCATGTAGTTAGAAGACATAGGATTGTACTTAATCGCTCTCAAAACATGAAAACTATTTCATTAAAAAGAGACTCTTAATTAAAAGTATATAATAAAACGATTATATTTAATTGATTACTTTGAGAAATAGAGGGACATAGAGACCAAAAATGCTAACTTAAAGTATAAGACATCAAAATACGCTATTGTCATTATCAGATTTATATAATTTATAATATTGTTTCACTAACTCTATATTTAGTTAAAATGGCGTTAACAAAACTATAAAAAGTAAGCATCAAACACTGAAAAAAAAGTTTTGTTCTGGTAACTGAATTATGGTAATCGTAATTATAAAAATAAGTTGGCTCAGGGATAGCAGTAATTTTTGTTAAGAATACCAATCAATTTTGGTATTTTGTATTTAGTTATTATCACAAGAGCAACTGTGCTTATAAGTATAGTTTTTACATACTCTAATTAATATAAATGTTAAAACTGGAAACTTAAACAAAATATAAAAATAACGTTTTTACAAAAATTGTAAACATATAATTCATTAAAAAAAAATCTTTATAATTGGAATGAAATTAACCACTTATTATATTAAATAATCAAAATTATTTTAGTTATAAAGATTTTGCTTATTAATTACAAAAAATCTCTCAAAATGACATACCTGGTACTATCTGGGATAATAGTCATATGATTAGGTATAGAAGATATTAACGAATTCTGAAAAATAAAATAACCACTATCTTTATTCTCAGTAAATCTGACATAATAGGCAAAAACATGTTCATTAAATCCTATAGTAAGTAAAGGTTTACACTCAAAAATGATTCTATCTGAACCGTATATATAAATATTTTTGACAAAAATAAATTTATAATTATTATCTTGTGTTAGAACGCTATTAGTTCTGTAACGTGTTTCTTTAATATTAGCCCAAGAAACAGAAAATATTGTTTTTGATGCTTCAATATTAAATTCTTATATACTTTGTTCATATTTAATTAAATTCACTGTTTTATGTTTTAAATTGGACCTCCAACAATATCTACACATAATCAACCCTTAAAAAACATGTCATTAAACTTTAAAGCCTGTAAAGTAAATAATTTAAGGTCCTTTACATAATAAGATATAATAAAACTCATAACATATTTTGCACTTTCTTTGAGAATATCATGCATTAAATCAACAACTACTAGGACAAACAAATTAAAATTTTTAACACCCAACCACACATACTTTTCTTTAATGCCAGTGGCACTTAGATTATTTAATACCAAGTGCTTGTAATACTGATCAATAGACCATAATTGACTTTCATTTTATGAACACCCGAATGACTCCCAAGAACATTACCACTTTCAAAATCATCAAAATACATAGTGGTAACAGTGGGGGTGGTTGTAATGGAGAGAAGCGTCTGGCGTCTTATACAATAAAAGGATTCTAATGAGGCTGAAAGGTAAATTCTACAAGATTGTAGTGAGGCCTCCTATGAT